TTAAACCCTAAATCCTCAAACCCCCGAAGCCTTACCTGCTAACTTTGGAACTTCTCAAACCCCTAACCCCTATAAATCCTATAAACCCAATATAACCCCTATAAATCCTATATATCCTTTTAAAGGGACCTATTGTGGTAGTTTCCATTTTCTTTTCCATTCACCCCTATAAATACCTGCTAACTTTGGAACTTCTCACCTGAAAGCCTTGGAGGGCTCCAACTGCAGGGCTTCTCCTGGGTTGCTGTTTGAAGGGTAGGGTTTTGGGCTTTGGGCTTAGGGTTTTGGGCTTAGGGTTTTGAGTTGAGGGCTTAGGATTTAGGGTTTAGGGTTTTGGGTTTAGGGCTTAGGGTTGAGTGTTTTGGTTTCAGGTCTGGGGCTTAGGGCTTAGGGTTAATTACTATAATAAGGGCAGAAAGGTGCTTAGGATCTAAGTTACCATAAAAAGATGAAGAAGGGTTTAGGGCTTAAGTTTCCATATCAAGCTGTATTATCCAGCAATAATGGAGAATCAAATGAAAAAGAACATTGGATTTTAATCGGAAAATGGGCTAATACAGTGATTGAAGGAACTGAAATTAAGTGAATATAGTAAGGGTATATATACGGCATATAGGGTTTATGGTTGAGGGTTACAATAACGAGAAAATGCCCATTTTTTACTAGATACCCATATTATGGTAACTTAAAACCTAGACTCTGTTTAGTATTCACGGACGTCAGTCGGTCATATGAGCGCGCGAAAGCACTTGTGGTTATGTTATGGTAACTTAACTTAAGTTCATTAAAACAGCAGCCCAGTCTCGGGCTTTTCCGGTGAGCCCGCGGCCAATGATCAGAGGGATGCGCCCACCCGCCTGGCTGATCACAAAATAACAAGAGTGCTACAGGGTTTTGGGGCTGCATTGTGTGTGTGTGTGTGTTTTATTTTCCTTTCGGCTTTTGGGGTTTAGGGTTTTAGGGGTCAGGGTCCTGGGGTCTTCAGTGTTTCGTTTTTCAGGGTTTAGGGTTTGGGACTTAAGGTTTTAAGGTGCAGAGCTGCGCGCGCCATCCCAGAGGAGGTGGGGGCACCCACAGCCAGCAGGTTTGCCAGGAATTAGAGTAGAGGGGGACAATAGGTGTGCTTCTTAGGGAATATACAGGGATATGTCACCATAATTTAGCCAACAAATGGAAACTATGTTATGGGGGGAGGTGGTGCTTTATAAAGGCTAAAATAGGGATGATTCCTTACTTGCCTGCAAGCAGCCAGCAAGAACAAAAAAAACAAACCCCTGTCAGCGCGTTCAAGACTTGAATGTAGGATTCGAAAATCCTGTTCAAAATTGTTCCAAATATGTGATCCACATAATGCCACCTAAACTCTAACCTAAACAACAAGGGTCCAAGACAAAAGCCTAAACCCTAAACCCTAACCCCTGAACCCTAAAACCCTAAACCCTAAAACCCTAAACCCTAAAACCCTAAACGCCTAAACCCTGAAGAAGCTCTGAGATCCTAGGCTCCTGAGCTCCTAAGCGTCTTAGGGCTTTGGGGTTTAATGTAGACCCAGGGTTTAGGGTTTAGGATGATTAATAAACCCCTAACCCTAAACTAAACTTTTAGGGTCCAACCCAACATCCTTTAATCTCCGGCCTGTACTTCGTCGTGCAAGACCTCTGACTTCAGGGAGAACTTTGAGACGATGGTGTCAGTGCCATGCTTTTTGACGACTCCTTCCTTGAAGTAGACATCAATTACATCCCCCATATTCCTGGGATGTGATTAAGGTACCACAAAACTTAGGTTTTGGGTTGCCATAGGGTTTAGAGCTTTAGGGTTTATGGGGTTTGGGGGATGCTGTTGAGATACATTATCTTTGCTCTCTATTTGGGTTCTTACGTTGAAGTATACGTTAAAACCCAGAGCCCTTGGAGGGTCGAGACAGTAAACCCCTTGGTGTGGTACCCTATACTACTTTTGGGAAGCCTTGAGGGTTTAGGGTTTATAGGGTTTAGGGTTTAGGTTTGGGATCTGCTCTCTCAATCCTCCGATGGGTCTGGGAATGTATAGTGCCCCTTAAGTAGATAAAATATGGGGTATATGGGGATCTTATTATAGTATACCCGAAGCCATGTTCTATCTACTTAAGGGGGACCCCAAACCCTACACACTAAACTCTAAATAGTAGTCTCCATTTTCTTTTCGATTATCCCTATATAACCCCAATATAGCCCTAATATTCTATCTACTTCAGGGGGACTATAACCCCTAAACCCTAAACCCCAGACCCTAAACCCTAAACCCTAAATACCCTCTATTCTATCTACTTAAGGGGGACTATACCCTAAACCCTAAACCCTAAATACCCAATATATAACCCAGGGGGACTGTAACATGTTGCTCAATAACTGCCCAAGTACAGGTCCTTCACGTTCATCTCCACAGGCAGCGCGCCTGAGTCTTCCATGGTGTTGAAGAAAATCCTCAGTCCCCATTAGGGTTTAGGGTTTAGGGCTTAAGGGTGTAGGGCTTGAAGGTTTAGGGTTCAGGGCTTAAGGGTTTAGGGCTTAAGGGTTTAGGGTTCGGGGTTTATGGCTTAAGGTCCCCCAGGAAGAAAAAGGCTCCTCCTTTGTAGTCGAAAAGGGAAACCCCTAGCCCAACAAAACTAGGTTGCTGTCAAGGAACTGAGAAAATTCATAATATGGAAATATCGAACATTCTCGGGTTTCCTTATGTTAGTAACTTGTTTTACGTTCTTTAACAGCAACCCAGATAAGGAAATATCACCTCCATATAATCCCTACATCCTATATTCCCTTATCACCTACTAACCCCCAATAACAAATATGTCCCCAAAATGATGTCAAATGAAAAGGATCCCTAAGATTGACCAAGAAGCGGAGCAATCACAGTCCCAAAAACGAATCCACCAGTCCTCTTGTTCGGCGTAAATGGGATGTCGTCGCCTCTTGCAATGACAATTCACTCTGGCCGTCTTACACTATCTTTCATAACCTGAGCCAAGTCAATTTGGAAACTATTTTTATATATCACAGACCATTTAATTAGGGTTTAGGTGAGGTCGTTGTAACCAGCTCAGCTCAGTGAGCAAGACTGCCAGAGAACCATCTTTGCGAGATCATGACTTGAGAAACCTGCGTTTATGACTTACAACTACAATCATAATTGTTGCTGCTATTACGACTATCACTTGTACTATTAATAATATTCTTACTACTGCCATTGTTCTTTTTTTTACCATTCTTGCTGCTATTACAAGCACAACCATCAAAATGTAACTACGGTCATTGTTATTCCATGGCCTAGCTGTAAGGCTCGGACCCATGTACCAGAGGATGGAATTTGTCGCTGACTTTCTTGAGGACCCTGTTCCCACCACATCGCCCACGTAGACCAATGGGAAGCCCTTCTGCTTCAGCTCGGCAATCCTTCTTAGAAGTCTGTTTCTCAGAATTAAGGTACACCTTACAGTAGGATCCTTACCCCCAAACCTTAAACCCTAAACCCTAAACCATAAATCCTAAACCCCTAGACCTTAAATCTTTATTCCATAATGAAGCTAGGAAAGCTATTTTGAGCGTTAGCCCAAAGGTGACATAGACTCCTGTCCGCTCTAAAGTGGCTTCGAGGACCCTAAGACAAACCCCAATTTTTGATGATAGGGTTTATTACCATTACTTAGGGTTTGGAGGGAGTGAACTTTTAAACTTGAAAAATTGTAAAATTAAGGACATTTGGGGACTCGAGGAAATGGTAAGTTTATATGGGCTTGAGGGTTTAAGGTTTAGGGTTTAAGGGGAGGGAACCCCCCACAATGGTACCCCTTATTTTTTGGGAAACCGGTTGTCGGGTTGAGGGCAGGCAGAGTCTGCGGGTTCAAGAGTTTCTCGAAGAGGGCCCAGTGCGAACCCTAAACCCTAAACCCTAAACCCTGTATTTGGGGTTCAGGGTTTAGGGTTGCGGATGTAGGTAGACACCGACTGTGGGAGGCCGGAAACACAAGGGGCCTAATTGTTCGCCTAAGGCTACATGGATTCTACATGAAACCCTATCCCTATGAAGGTCATTGAGGAGACGCCGATAACCCTTAACCGGCTAAACCCTCCTAAACCCCACACCCCTGAAACCCCAAACCCCTTACAGCTCTCAAACCTTGAGACCCCCTAAACCCAAATCCCTCTATAACCCCCCATATAACGCCTTATATAATCCCTATAGTTTCCATTTTATTTTCCATTATCTCTATATATAACCGCATATAAACCTGGGAACCCCAAACGCTACACCCTAAACTCTTGAACCACTGAAAACCCTTCCCCAAACGCCCGGTTCGAAGCCAAGCAACTGATTCGAGGCATTGGTGATGCCTTCCTGTTGCTGTCAAGGATTCGAGTTTACAATTTACAGTTTAGGGCCTTAGGGCTTAGGTTTTAGGATAAAGGTTTCAGGTTTAGGATTTGTGGTTTGGGGTTTGGGATTTAGGGATTAGGGTTAGGATCTAGGGTTTAGAATTTGGGTTTTAGGGCTCAGTGCTTACGGTTTGGGCTTCTTGCTGCCACGGATTAGTTGATAGCCCACTGGCCATAGTACCCGAGGAGTATCTGCTTCATTGTTGTTGTTGTTGTTGATATTATAGAAGAACCCAGAACCACAAAAGTGCAAACAGGGTACCACTGGGCTTCTTGGAGAAGGGTTAGGCCATCATGATATGGCTGCATTGCAAATAAACAGGCTCTTGTTGTATATACTAACTGAACTTCGGGCTACGTTACCATAATCTGGACATGTAGATAGCAAAAGTCTGCTATACAGGAGCTGAATTTAGGGTTAAGTTACCATGATATGAACCATTGTCTAAACTCCTAGTATCCCCCTTAATAAGCCCAATAGTAGTCCACTATATAATCCCCTGTATATCCCCCTTTAAGGAGTTTAGACTATAGCTCATATTGTGAACACTAGTTTTTGACAGGAACCAAACATAAGTTGCTTTGATTGCAGCCCATCTTCCCGTGGGAACTTCAGCATGGCCAAGGCGTGCAAAGGAATGTCGGGTCCTGACGTACAGGGTTAAGGGTTTCGGATTTAGGGCTTAGACTTTCGAGTTTAAGGTTGAGAGCAGAGGAAAGTGAAATGAACATGGAAACTGTTCTAGGGTTTAGGATTTAGGGTTTAGGATTTAGGGTTTAGGATTTAGGGTTTAGGATTTAGGGTTTAGGGTTTAGGATTTAGGGTGTAGGCTTTCGGGGGTTTCATCAGGGTAGGTTCCATCTGTGGAGGCTTGGGCTACTTAGACAGGTTTTGGCAGGGTTTAGACTTTAGGATTTCACGTGTAGAGGGTCTAGGGCTAAGGATTTGGGATTGGGATCCTAAAAAAAGCCTTAAACCCTAAACCCTAAACCCCTAAACCCTAAGCCCTAAACCCTAAACCCCAAACGCCTTAAGGGCGCACTGTTTTAGGTCCAAGGCTGCTGACTCCCCGGTTCTCTGAGGTACGGCATCTTTTTGGAAGTCGCTCTAAGAAAGATCCTGCTGTGTTGAGGGACATACGCGGTTTAGGGCTTAGGGCTTAGGGCTTAGGGTTCAGGGTTTAGGGTTCAGGGTTTGGGGTTTTCAGAAATGCTTGCTGGGAGGTCCGTGGTTGGCAGAAAACAAAGCTTTCTGTAATTGCGTCTAATTCGAGCGAGTACAACTGGCTCTAACCCTAGTAATTCTAGCCGCCCCAGTTAAAGGGGTGTGCAAAGGATTTGCAAACGTTAAAAAAAAACAAACCCTCAACCCTGCACCCCAAACCTGAAGCCCTCAACCCTGAATCCCCAACTCCTGACCTAAATCCTTAACCCTAAACCCCTAGCCCTAAACCCAAAACCCCCCTCAACCCTTCATCCCAAATCTAAAAAAAAAAGACGCCCCTTGACAGCCATAGTCTAAAGTCCTAGTATCCCCCTTAACAACCCCTATACGAGTCCCCTATATTTCCTAGATAACCCTCCCAAAAGGTCCCTAAACCCTCGAACCTTTAACCCCTAAACCTTTAAACCCTACACAACCCCCTTCAAGGAGTTTAGACCCTAAACCCTAAACCCGATATAACCGCCCTACAAGGAGTTTAGCACAGAGGGCCGGACTCGACCACGCATCCGGTGCCGGGGAGAGGTCATCCGTGTTCGTCTCGCCCGAGACTTTGAAGACCGTCAGCGTCACCTGCTTAGGACTTTTAGGGCTGGGATCATATGGGATATTAGCCCCAACGATGGAGAATCAAATGGAAAATAAAATGGAAAATTAAATAGAAACTGGGAGTATATGGTGGCTTATAAGGCTTTAGGGTTTTAGGTTTTAGGGTTTTAGGGTTAGGGTTTAGGGTATTAAAGCCCTAGGTACTAGTACTAAATACTAAATCCTGCAAGTAGCACGAAACTGAAATGCTGTTCCTAGGCACTAGTACGGAGTACGAAATACGAATAGCAATGCTACATGCTAATGCTAGTACTTCTGCTGTTACTACTACACTTACTAATACGAATACTGCCCTTATGAGAAAGGTCAACAGAGCCTTTCAGTTTGTTGTGGTTTTTCTAATTGGAATATTTGGTATTAGGTTGTGAGGGTTTCGTATTAGGGCAAGGGTCTACCATGAAGCTTCGACAAATCTCAAAATTCCTTTAAACTCTGGATCAGATAAGACTGCATAAGTCCCATCCAAACAAGGCTGAATCCGATATTTCGGAAGCGATTTTGAGTCTTGCAACCCCCAGAATAAGGACCTTTTGACAATAATTGGTCTCTTATAAGGTCCTTGTTATAAGATGTTGGTTACCAAAACCTTTTGGTTCAACGCTCTGCTTGTAGGGGACGCGATTGGGTTTGCACCTTGTCTGGAATGCCCTTCCGGCTGTTGAACCACTCAGCATTTGCCCAGGACTCCATCAATTTCTTGGCCTTGGCTGCTTTCCCTTTCAAGGTTTAGGGTTTAGGGGGATTTCGGTTACACCATCCCACACAATTCGGGCCAGATTATCATCATATGATAGGTATAGGATCCTAGATACTTGGGGGTAAATCCTAGCCTTAACCCAGTTCCCAGGTCGTTTGCGATGTTCTTTTGCATTTTGCTGCTCCATTGCAGGGATGCATCCATACAATTCCTTATAAACCTTACCCTAAGCCCTAAGCCCTAAGCCCTGAACCCACCTTGGCTTAAACCCAGGGCTAAGAACCGCCAACTGTCCTCTGAATTTCCACGCATAGACAAACAGAACCCGAACAGTCCGCAGAGCATACTCTGTACCATAAACCTGGTTTAGCAGTATAGCGCCATCACTAATGCGAACACAAAATCATAGTATAGAACAGCATCCTCTTCAAACGAAACAAATTCCGCAAATGTTCCCTGAACAAAAGCTTCCACATGTTAGGGTCCAGGGTTTGGGGATGACCAAGGCTGCCAAGCCACGAATGTATTTCCCAAAAGGAGGATAGAATCTTACTCTATAATGGGTACCATAGTCCTAAACCCTAAACCCTCTATATTGGGTACCAGAGGATCCCCAACAAACAATGCTGCCAAGCCACGAATGTATTTCCCGCCTTCATCTTCTCCTAGGTTCCCCAATAACCCACTGGGGTACCTAAATCCTAAACCCTAAACCCCTAAACCCCTAAACCCTGAACCCTACACCCCTAAACCCCTAAACCCCTAAACCCCTAAACCCCTGAAACCCTAAACCCTCAACTAATCTGCTCGAGTCTCTTCAACATCGTAAAAAGCATCAAACATGAGCAGGGTACGCGACAAACCTTTCACCGCTAGCTCCGCAAGCTCCTGGCCACTGGAGGGCTTAAGGATTCCTAGTGTTTAGGGTTTACACTCCCGGAAACTAACATGGAAACCCAAAAAGGGCCCTATAAAGACTACAGCCCCTCTAAAAGGGGAATGTATGGG